AACAGCAATGTATAAAGTGGGGTAATTATAAGTACCAAGTAAAGCTTTACTTTAAAGCCCAGTTGAAGTCACAGAAATCAATACCGAATAATGGAGTCTTCCATCCACTTTGCAGTAGTTGTCTAAAGATGACACTGATGTCTAACAGGCCTCAGTAAAGACCTAATGCACCCAGCAACACAGTAATGGACCTGATCTGAGATGCCCCCTTCCCTTCTCTGCAGGATAAGTCTGTGTAAAGACACTTATGCTGAGGGTGTGGCTTTTATTCAGCTCTGCCAGCACAGACCACTGCAGTGTGAGGGATGGAAGCAATGGTTTCACTGAGAGAAAAAGATATTTTAAAAGATTTTAGGCAAAAATCGTTAACAAAATCTTGGCATACGGAAAAAGAGATAAAAGGGGATAAGGATTCAATTAGACTTTAAAGTGTTACTGAACCCAGGATCCTGCATTCATTATATCTGGTCTCCCACAGTGCGCAGAATATGGAAATGCAATTATTTAAGTAAATATAAATACCTTTCCTCATGAGCAGTTAGAGCAGTCTTGTGACTTCTATCAGTGTCCAGCAGAGCACTGGCTAAAGTTTGTAGAAGGAGTTTTCATTCTCCTCTGATTGTCCTATGAGGCTGCAAGACCCCTGACCCTCTGTCTGCACAGTGCTGATTGGCCCTGTGCTGATTACATGCACCCTCCCAAGAAAAAAAAAAAAAACTCTCTAGCAATACACACTAAACTGAGCACGTGCAGCTTGCCCCCAAAGCTCTGTTCTATCAGCAGGTTGATTGGGAACTGTGGAAGAAGAGGAGGATCAGAGAAGACAGGATCAAACATCCTTTTTACACAATGCAGAGGATTAACCCCTTAGGTTCCACAGTGAGTATAACAAGCATGATTTACTGCATATACAGACTGATTTTACTGTTGTGGGTTTAGTAACACTTTAATAGTGTCAGATCTAATAATAATAATAATAATAATCAGCGCAGGATGAAATATACAGTAATTGTTTGCTTTAGGTTGTTGCGTGTTTATGGAAGAAGTCTTATTCATTTAGTTTTTTCAATATGGAAGTTTTGTAATAGAATCCAGAAGCCATGGCTAAACCTTCCTGTCCTGCAGGCTTTCTGTTATGTCTACCTTTTCACCCCAGGTAGAAGCAGATTGACATTCCTGTATGCTGACATTATGCTGCAGCGATGACTAACTCCGAGCTCATTCCATCAAGAAATCTCAAAAAACAAGGATAAATCACCTACAAATTAATTCTGCTGCCACAGGACAAGTAAGTGTTTTTGCTGTACACTTTGTGCCCTCCGGCTGTAGCACAATTGTATCAGGTCTTATCACACAGGCCTGTCTCTGCAGATCCTGCTTTATCTATCGGCACAGTATTACATTTGATATAAAAGTGATTAATATCACAGAGCCCGGTGTTTCTGCTCTCTGCTAGGGACAAAGCATTGCATTTCCTTTCAAATGTCTTCCCAAATAGAGAAAAATATATTTGAAATATATTTTTAAAATATTCTTCCCAAAAATTGCCATATATTTGAAATGCTACAATTTTTGCAATATTCAATATATATATATATGCTATATGTTGAAATGCGTTTTTATTACAAAATATATGAAAATTTTTTTAAAACTACATTTCAAATATACTGTATGTCTTTAAAAATACAAATCTACATTCTTGGAATGCATTTACAAATATATGTTAAATGACTTTTTTATATGTTAAAACAAATCTTAAGAATATATTTAAAAAATATATAGTTAATATATTTTTTAAATATATTCTTCAGATTTTTTTAACATATAAAAAAAGTCATTTAACATTTATTTTTACATATATTTGTAAATGCATTCCAAAAATGTAGATTTGTATTTTTAAAGACATACAATATATTTGAAATGTATTCTTAAAAATATTTTTCATATATTTTGTAATAAAAACACATTTCAACATACAGTGTGCGTGTGTGTGTATATATATATATATATATATATATATATTTTTTTTTTTTTTTTATTATTGAAATATATTGAATATGGTCAAAATTGTAGTGTTTCAAATATATGTCAATATATTTGGGAAGAATATTTTTAAAATATATTTCAAATATATTTTTCTTCCATGTGGGTTTCTGCTTCACCAATTCATACCTTGATCTTTTGCTGTACACTTTAAGAAGAATGCATTAACATGGAGCAAATGGTTCTAAAACAAGCATCACTGCTCCCTCCTACAACTAACATTGGCCCAACTGGTAATTGAGTTCTTGTGGGAAACCTAAACCAAAGCAAGTTTATGTTCCTCTGAGGCACAGATGGTGAAAAATCTCTACCGCCATGCCAATTTCAGCTCCACTGACATGACATTGGGAAAAACAGTGTTGTGCAAAGGAGGGTTAAGTCACATGATCTGTCAAAGTCATGTGACCTGCCTCCCCTCTTACTGTGCAGCATTATGCAAAGAACACACTGAAGGACGCTACAGGCTCTACATTATGGCGTGTGTGGCACAAACACTTCAGTGTCCATTTCACTAGATATCAGTAGCAGTCACTGCTAAATTGCTTGTGTAGATGGGAAAAGGTAGCATGCTTTCAGGCTCATTCTGCTTACATTTCAGATCATTTTGAGTTCCTTCTGAACACGTTCTGACCTGCTTCTGCTTGTCTTTAGGAAAGCTTTGGGCTAAACTTGTGTTCCCTTTGAGTTTTTGGAAAGGACAAACGCTGCATGAATGGAAGGACTTTTGGAGGATGGTCAGGGGATGGTGAAGGTGATACACTAACACTACCACATTAATGACGGACCAATTTAAAGTTATTCTAAATGTTTTTAGTTTTTTTTTTTTTTTTTAATAACGAACATGTCATACTTACCTGCTCTATTCAATTAATTTTGCACAAAGCAGTACAAACCCTCCTCTTCTCTTGTCCACCCGCTACCACTTCTGGCTGCTCCCCCATACCAAGTGCCCCCATAGCAAGTCGCTTGCTACGGTGGCACTTGTGCAGGCTCACTCCCAAGCCGGCTCTGTGTGTCCATAAGATACACAGAACATGTCTCGGCCCCATCCCCTTCTCACTGGCTGTGAGCAATAGCAGCGAGAGCCAGTGGCCCCCACTACTCTCTCTGAGCCAATGAGAAGTGAGAGAACTGAGAGAGTTCTATCATGCACCACTGGATAGAGATGGGGCTTCGGTAAGTATAAGGCTGCACTCAGAAGGTTTTTTTACCTTTATGCAGAGAATGCAGGAAGGTAAAAAACCTTCTGCCTGTAAAACCACTTTAAAGTAGATGTGAACCAAAACTGGATAACATGTAGCTTGCTAAAGCACTGTGTATGACAAATAACTGATTTTTATTATAATTTTTTTTATCATCTGTGATGTTGATCTCCTCCAGCCTCTTTCAGTCACTCCGTCTACATGTACAGCTACACCTCATTGTTCAGCATTGACCTCCTCTTAGTTTGGGTTCACATGGGAAACATAGGGGCAGTAAAAACTGGTGGTAAATATGCATTTTTACTGCCCCCTCGACTGCCTACCTACAAAAAAATAACATGGTGACCCACTGATTTTCATACACATTGCCATGCAAATTTGACTCAACATGCCATGTTTGGCAGGTGTTACCATTTGCCAAACGCGCCCTTGAAGTCCATGAGACCATGCAGAGGCCTACTATTGAAATGCAGTATTCCTTTTGGGATCAGAAAAGCAAAACAGGCATTCAAGAGGTGGCAGTATTGCCTCCTGAATGCCTGAAATCGACTACTCACTGTAAATTGCTTTTCAGAGGGGCATTAAAGCGAAGTTCCACTCACTTTGTAAAGAAATAAATGTCAGCAGCTACAAAAACTGTAGCAGCTGACTTTTAAAAAACAGCCACTCACCTGTCCCACGATCCCGTATTGCCCCCCGCATTGCCAGTTTCACCGCCCGTCCTGTATTACAGGCGCCAGCATCTTCAGTGTGGGCACCCGGCTGTGACAGCATGCGGCTTCACAAGCGGGTGCCCACTGCGCATGTACGAGTAACACTGCGCTTCATGAATGGTCCTGTAGTCTTCTGGGACCCACAAGACTTCGGAGAGGGAGTGTAGGAGTACAAAATGCGGGTACCAGTTCCCCCCCCGTTCCCCAAAGGTGCCAATCCTTAATGGGGATCGGGGGACCAATCTTTAAAGTGAAACTTCCCCTTTTGGGTGGAACTCTGCTTTAAACCCCATAGCCAGTATGTATGAGGCCTTGTGAAAATGGTTGGTAAATTAGGAGATCGTTGTCACCCATAACAGGATGTGTCTTAACAATAACCTTCATGGTTGAGCTAGATGGACCTGTGTCTTTTTTCAACCTGATTACCTATGGCAGGAAAGTGCCTGAACAATGGATTTCCTGACTGGGTCGTCCAGTATTTTTTTTTTCAATGAAAACAGTTTTTACAGTAACATGCTAAAGCTTACATAATATTTTCCTCTTTGGGTTTGGATATAATTTAAACCTTCCTTACACTATTTTTCTGTTTATTTTAGTTGGAGAAGGATGAAAAGAGAGGAATTCCATTCAAGAAAACCTGAATAGAGTTGTGACTGCCAGATTCTTCAGAAGTTTGCATAGTATGACACGCTATAAATGGAAGTATTTGTAGATTCAGGTGTGCGCATTAATGACTACATACGCCTAGACACACACAAAAGAATGATGTGGGTTAACTTCACTGATACTCCACATTACGGCCTATGAGTCACTCTGCTTACATAAAGTTACGTCTTTAACCGTATCACTGGGGAGCGAAGACTTCATTTCATTTTTATCAGGTTAGAAGAGTCAGCAGGAATAAAAACTCAATTCCCTATTCACCGAGCTCAGAATATTTTGCATCAGGAATTTGTAAATGAGAAATGAGAGAGAGAAGAAGAAGCCTGACAAATGGCACAATGTAAGCAAATTGGAAAGAGAGATTCAAGATGAAAGTTACCTCCTGCCATGTTAAGAACAGAATCAAAAGCCGGGCGCACTTCCTTCCCAAGCTGCTCATGGACACGATCCCCCAATAATGTCCCAACATCTGCAGAGGAAATATTGATATATAAGCTGGTAGTTATTAATACATTTCAGAGTCAGCAAGCTTTACCATACAGGCCTCACTCTACCATACAGGCCTCACTCTACCATACAGGCCTCACTCTACCATACAGGCCTCACTCTACCATACAGGCCTCACTCTACCATACAGGCCTCACTCTACCATACAGGCCTCAGTCTACCATACAGGCCTCACTCTACCATACAGGCCTCACTCTACCATACAGGCCTCACTTTACCATACAGGCCTCACTCTACCATACAGGCCTCACTCTAAGAATAAATGAGTGCTAAGGAGTGAAAAGATGGTGTGCAAATAACAGCAACCCTTACAGAAATGGACCATGGTGCTGGCAATTTTTATCTCTGAATTTTATCATGCAGGCAGAAGCACAACATTTAGGCTACATGTACACTGGAACACCCCTAGATGTTAACTCTCTCGGCAGCAGAAAAACGCTAAGGGCTCATGTACATGGGACATTTGGGAAACTCTTCTGAACGATGGAAATGGACTGCTGGAAAACGTAGGTTAAAAAACGTCAGTTTAGCTACGTTTTCATACCACGTTTATGAGTGTTTGCGTTCAGAAGTGTTTTGAAAAGATAACCTCAGTAGACCTTCCCAAATGCCCAGAATGCACTGAAAAATAGCAAATAATAAAATTTTGAGAGAAATAGAGAGAGCAGAAGCAGAGAGAGCAGTATGTGTTGAGATGATCTGTCTTTTCTGGTTATATTCACTATGGATCCCATCCTGAGCATAATGCAGCACGTTCTACCATTTGTTCCTTCACGCGGAACCTGGAACTGACTGCGCTGGTGTACCGGGTCCATTTGAATACATGGAAACGCTTTGCATGCATTTCTGATGATGAAAAAAGGCTCTGGACAGCATCTGGATATGGAACAGTTAAAAAAACGCTTCTAAACACAAATGCTTATAAACGCGGTTAACCGTGTTTACAAGCTTTTAGTGTTTAAAACGCCGGTAAAATCTACTCATGAATGCAAGTTTGGTGCGTTAAAAAAAAAAAAGACTGTAAACTCAACTGCCTGTAAATGACTGTAAAAGACTATGTGTACATGGACACATAGGAAAACATTAGGGAGAGTTCAGGGGCTGCTGAAAAATATGCTGAACAGCTCCTAAACGTCAGTTTAGCAGCCACAGTGTACATGAGTCCTAAATGTGCCAAAAACGCATGAAAACGCGGTACCGCATATAGCCACATATAGCACTTGAATATTTATTCATTTTACTGGCCAGAGCACTTGCCATTGAAATGAATAAACGCCCAAGTGCTAAACACAGTTTACATGCATTGTTGCCATGTTTGGCTTTTTTATTGCCAAAACGTTCCTCTCCTGAATGCGAATCTATTGCGCTCAGGAGAGGAATGGTTACTGCCTCTAAACTCTGGTAAAAGTCTATGTGTGCATGGACACTTAGGGGTTTATTTACTATAGCAGGAGCGTGCAAAATCAGGCGCACTTCTGCATAAACCAATCAGCTTCCAGGTTTTATTGCCAAAGCTTAATTAACAAGCCAAGGCTAGAAGCTGATTGGTTATTATGCAGACGTGAGTCTGATTTTGCACTCTCCAGCTTTAGTAAATAAACCCCATAGGCTTTTATTGAGTTGAGTTTAGGGGCTTTGGCAGAAAGGATCAGCAGTGTGCAGGAGGCCTTAAGGGGAAATTCCAGGTTCACATTTGGCCGTCTCCCGAGTGCCACGTTTGCGAGCACACAGCAGCTCATTCATTTGAATGGGCTGCTCTACCTGCGGGAAACACAAGGTCCTGGTGCACTGGTGCAAGCAGAATCTGGTGCAGCTGTGCACAGTAACCAATCAGCTTCCAAGTTTTGTTATTAAAGCTGAAAGTGGTTGTAAAGGCTCAAGGTTTTCTATGCATGAAGGTAAAAAAACCTTCTGTGTGCAGCATCCCCTCCAGCCTCCCCTAATACTCACTCGGGACTATCCCAGGATTCCCTCTTCTCATTGGCTGAGACAGAAGCGGGAGCCATTGGCTCCCATTGCTGTCAATCACAGCCTGTGAGCGAATAAGAAGAGAGATGGGGGTGCGGGCCGAGCCGCGGCTCTGTGTGTGAATGGACACAAGGAGCAGAGGGTGCCCCATAGCAAGCTGCTTGCAGTGGGGGCACCCAACAAGGGAGGGGCCAGGAGAGCCTGCGGGGGACCCGAGAAGAGGAGGATCTGGGCTGCTCTGTGCAAAACCACTGCACACTGCAGGTAAGTAAAGACATGCTTGGTATTTTTGCTTAAAAAAATTAAGCCTTTAGAATCACTTTACAGAACAAGCTGAAGTTAGAAGCTGATTGGTTACTATGCACAGCTGCAGCAGATTCTGTGTGCACCAGGTTTAGTATATCTCCCCCTTGGCCCTTTTACACCATGTGGTTTCATGCACCTGAATACGCACAGCATTTTCAGATGTGTGGGAATGTAGTGAAGAATTGATGGCCCTCTTGCACTTCTGCTAAAGAGCAGTGCGTTTTTACTGCGATTTACACGCATTCCCGCACCTACATAAGTGTGAACCTAGCCTAAGATGTGTGTGCTGCAATGCCGTTCACTGTGACTGACACTCCAAAACACCTCCAAAACACGTGTGCTGCAATGCCGTTCACTGTGACTGACACTCCAAAACACCTCCAAAACACGTGTGCTGCAATGCCGTTCACTGTGAATGGCACTCCAAAACACCTCCAAACGTGTGTGCTGCAATGCCATTCATTGTGACTGTCGCCCCAAAACACCTCCAAAACACGTGTGCTGCAATGCCATTCATTGTGACTGGCGCCCCAAAACACCTCCAAAACGTGTGTGCTGCAATGCCATTCATCCAAAACTTTGTGTGCTGCAACGCCATTCATTGTGACTGTCTCCCCAAAACACCTCCAAAACACGTGTGCTGCAATGCCATTCATTGTGACTGGCGCCCCAAAACACCTCCAAAACATGTGTGCTGCAATGCCATTCACTGTGACTGGCGCCCCAAAACAATGCAATGCATCACAGTTCAGCACAATGAGCCTTGTGCAGCAGCAATGAGGTATGTTGTAGCCCATTCATTCTGAATGGCCTGCTAACTTAGTCCATCACATGTCAATATATGAGAATGTGTGAGCTGCAGCGCACTTCATTGTGATGTGATTGGCCCTTTAGTTTGGAGCAGAACACCTTGATGCTATCGTGATTGAAAGTCAAAACTTATTTTTACATGTTGGATAGAATGAGGATAGGTTAGAGCCTTGGTAAAGTTTATAAAGAATGCAAATGCTACTACTGTATGCATTTTCAGGTCTGGAATGTTTTAGTTAAAATTTGCATGGAATTCCAGGGCGGTTTGGGACCCCTTCTTCTAGGATATAAAAAGTCTCAAATCTGGACTAGAAAAAATAACAGAAGCACAGAAAATGTGACGCGTAAGGTTCAGTTTGGGCTGCCAATATCCTCTCCTTCTAAAAATGACAATGAGGTTTATTTACTAAAATCGGAGAGTGCAAAATGTGGTGCAACTCTGCATAGGAACCAATCAGCTTCCAGGTTTTATTGCAAAAGCTTCATTGAACAAGCTGAAGTTAGAAGCTGATTGGCTACTGTGCACGAGCACCAGATTCTGAGTGCATCAGCTTTAATAAATCTCCCCCATGGAGTCTTCCCATTTCACATGATTGTTCCAGGATATTTACTCATATTAGATACAGATAGCCAGATATTTAGCAAGCAGGTAATCAGCAGCTGCCTGAATGTTTCTCTCAGTACAGAGCAGGGGCGGACTGACAACTCATGGGCCCCCCAGGCAATAGGGGATCATGGGGCCCCTGTGTCCTTGCCCAAAAAAGCCTATGAAAAAGGTACCAGGGGCATCTCATGGGGCCCCCTACTGACCCTGGGCCCTCAGGCAGTGCCCGAATTTCCAAATAGTCAGTCCGCCCCTGGTACAGAGGTTATATAAGAGTCGGAGTCAGTGCGAACCAACCTGGTAGCCTGCTTATAACAGAAGGAATATGCACAACAGCAATACAACAATTAAACAAAACAAAAACATATGACATATATATACCCTTTGACTAGTTGCATTGTGTGGTTTTAAGGCTCCTGATTTTAGAGTACCGTTGTACATGCTGGTTAGGACAGAGTTAATTTTTAACAGTGAAGAAAATCAACAAAATAACATTAATGGACTGTACTTACTATTGAGCTCTGATAGGGCTTTCTCCTTAGTTATATTGAACTTGGTCAATAAATAGTCAATTTGCTGGCAAAACATAAAAATCATTATTGTTAGTTTTGAAGAACAAATAGAATAAATATTAAAATAGAAATAAAAATAGAAAAATTTACCAGATATATACACATTCATGTAACTAAAGTGTAAGTGGCTGCACTACAGAGTGTGGAAGAGTTAAAAACCTTTAGGGCCAGTTCACACTACATGCATTTCAGTTGCTTTTTTTTCTGCATCCAAAATGCACAGGAAGTAGGTTACAGTATATGGTTGTCAGTGTCATAGTTCACATCAGTGCTTGCAGTTCCAGTGCGTTATGATTGCAGAAAAAAAAGTAGAACATGCTGCATTTTTTCTGCACAGAACTGCAACACGGTGAAATGCATCAAAAACGCACTGGAACGCACATGTCCGTATTTAAATTGAAGAAAAAGAGAGGGGAAAAAATTAACTGGAATGCATAAAAAACACACCGGAACTCCTCAAAATGCACCAAAAATGCACTGGAATGCATAAAAAACACACCGGAACTCATCAAAATGCACCAAAAATGCACTGGAATGCACCTGTCCGTATTTAATTTGAAGAAAAAGAGAGGGGAAAAAATGAACTGGAATGCATAAAAAATACACCGGAATGCACTGGAACGCATAAAATGCGCCAAAAAACGCACTGGAATCCGTATTTAAATTGAAGAAAAAGAGAGGGTAAAAAATTTACTGGAATGCATAAAAAACACACTGGAACACATCAAAATTTGCCAAAAATTCACTGGAATGCACATGTCCGTATTTAATTTGAAGAAAAAGAGAGGGGAAAAAATGAACTGGAATCCATAAAAAAATGCACTGGAACACAGCAAAAATGCATCAAAAATGCACCGGAACACATCAAAAACACGCATGCGGAAAAGCATCCGGAACGCACCTGGACTGCATTTCTATAGTGTGTGAACCGGCCCTAACAGGAAACTAGGTCTACACAAATGAAAATCACCAAATAACAATGAAATATAACTGTTTAATTTTTAATTTTAATTAAAAACCTAAAAATGGTCACAGAACTGTTGCTTTATCAAATTCTGGGTCCCCAACCCAAAAAGATTTTTTTCCAATTATATATACAACTATTGAACTCTTCTTGATAATTAGTAAGGAGGTTAGTCGGGGTTAAGCCTACATACATGGCATGGATAGTCTGTTTTTTCTGTAAGAGTTAGAACCTCTCTAAAGCCCTGTTCACATTGAGCGATGCGCTTTTGGTGCTTTTTTTAGTGCATTTTTGGATTGGCGCCATTCATTTGAATGAGCCTCCCTCCGCTCCAAAAATGCACCAAAGAAGCTCATGTACCAAATTTTGGCACTGAGCAAAGTGTGAATTGCACGTTTTTTGCATGTTATGCTGCATGGAAAATGTGCTGCAAAATGTGCAACTGCTACCTGTTTTTAGGGTGCCACTAAGAAATAATGGCACCGCAATCATGTCACATGTGCTTTTGCAAAAGTGTGGACAGAAACGAGCATCTCTGCTATGCCCAGGTATGAATGGAGCCTTAGATTTTTTTTTTCCTGCTGTCTGGGTCCCCGCTGGGGAAATTCACCTCCATTTGTCCTATGGTCACTGTCATCAGGACAAAAAATGATCGACAATCCACAATTTTACAGTCGTCACCAGGACAGAAATAGAAGGAAAATTGTGGCAGCTGTTTTAGTGATAACTGTCTAAAAAGTGATGAAAAATCTCCCCAGGGCATTTTAACCTTTCTCTACCCAATCAAAAACTAAAAAACACCTGAATTTAGGTATTCCTGTACATTTCAAAGAAGGAAAACTGGGAGATGTTTCTAGCTCTCTAATGTACTTTTAGTTATGTATGTATAAGCCACATTTGGTGTATGTCCTTGTTGATACCTCCTGAAAATGCTAGTATCCTGGCTATTATAGAGCTCATCTGGTCCCAATACATCTGAGTCACTGACCTCAGTATGCAGGATGGAACAGTCCAAAAAAAAGACAGAAGCCCTCATTTGACGCATAAAGCTGTTCATAACACTGCCCCTAATTATTTCACCGACCTTGTCTCTAAATACCACCCAAACCATACTCTCCGCTCCTCGCAAGACCTCCTACTCTCTAGCACCCTTGTCTCCTCCCATGCTTGTCTCCAGGATTTCTCAAGGGCTTCACCCATCCTCTGGAACTCCCTACCCCCAATCTATCAGGCTATCGCCTACTCTGCTCACTTTTAGGCGCACTCTGAAAACCCATTTCTTCAGAGAAGCCTACCCCGACCCCAGCTAATACTGGAATCCTCTACTCTTCCTACCACTCCATCCCCCGCAGCTAATTACCTTTTGTACCACTATCCCCTCTCTCCTAGATTGTAAGCTCCAAGGAGCAGGGCCCTCTAATCCCTCGTGTATTGAACTGTATTGTTACTGTACTGTCTCCCTCCATAATTTAAAGCGCTGAGCAAACTGTCGGCGCTATATAAGTCCTGTATAATAATAATAATAATTTACACACCTGATCTGGTTAGTGACTCAAAAGTACTGAAGCAAAGGGATCATTATGACAGCCAGACAACTAGAAATTTTAAAGGAGTAGGCATATTGAAAATATACTTTAATACTTGAAACAGTATGTAAACACACACACCCCAAAATAAAACTAGAAACAATATGTAAACACATACACACCCCAAAATAAAACTAGAAACAATAAGTAAACACATACACACCCCAACATAAAACTAGAAGTGTGGACTCAAGTACTGTATAGTCAGCAAAAGTAACATGTCAGTGACACCTGCTGGTGATTTCTAGACTTGCAATTGTGTATCATCTAAGGCCCCATTCCCACCTGAGCGATGTGCAGTTTTGCCGAAAAATTCAATGCATCTCTATGGAGTTGGTTCACATCTCCACTCCAAGTTGGCAGAAGCCAAAGCCTCAAGCTCAAAAAAGGGTTAGAGCTACTTTTGTAGCTTGATTTGGGCGATTTTTTTCCCTATAGAAATTAATTTAAATGTGCAATTTGTGCATTTATGGCCATTTTTGCGCATTTTGTTGTGTGCTTAGGTGTGTTTTTCTGCTCAAATGCAATAAATAAATAAAACAAAATAATTATAATCATAATAAATAAATAAAAGTACCTAAAATAAATAATTAAAACAAATTAACCTCTAACCCTATACCCTAAACAAAAAAAATAAATGGATAAATAATAATAAATACATATATTCCCTAAAATAAATAAATTAACCCCTAACGCTAACAAAAATTTAATGAATTAATACATTCCCTAAAATAAATAAATAAACACCCTAACCCTATTGCTAAGCACCATAATTAAATAAAATAATAAATAAATATATAAATGAACGCCAGGACGAAGAAGAGAAAGCAGATGAAAAAGCTGACAAACATAGCAAGAAATTAGGAAATATGATATTTTTCCATATTGGCTAATAAAAAAAGGCAAAGCTCAAAAACCCTTTAAAAATAGGTACAAAAACATGCAAAACACTTAAAAACAATCAACAAATTAACCAAAAAACATGCCGAAAAACACGATACTCAGGTGTAAATGCAGCCTAAGATTGAAATAGAATTAAACTTTTCATTCTCTGTTGATGGTACCTAGGCATTAGGAATCCACCACACCCCCTGTATTTTCCAAATAATTTATCTCTGCAATTTACAGTATTATCACTATTAAGATTATGGTATTTCATAGTTTTACGAAGTCTAGGTTCACATCTAAGCAGTTTGCAATTGAGCAATATCTGCAGAGCTTTTTGCATTTTTGCATATGTGTTTTTTTGACACGGTTTTGATGTGTTTGGCGTTTTTTTTCCAACTTGTTGCTGGGCAGATTAAAACGCAGTACACACTAAAAATGCATCAAAAACGCACTACATACATTTCTGCAGCATCTCCATTGATGTCTATTGAACCAAAAACGCAACGTTTTGCATTGAAAAAAGTCCCTGTCCCTTTCCAAAAAACACACCGGTTGAAAATGCAGAGATGTGACCGTGTCCCATAGGAAATCATGTTAAATGGACTCCTGTGCGTTTCTGCAAAACGCAACAGAAAACGCATAGGTGTGAACCTAGACTGAAGTGCACTTGTGCCCTGTGGGTGGGGCCTGAACGGCTGCCTTTTTTTGAAATTGTGACAGCGGGTGCGGGAAGAAGATCCCTGGCCCACTGTCATGGGTGGGCTTTGGTGTGGGGGTGGCTGCAACATGTTCCGAAGGGTAAACTTATCCTTTAGAGTGATTTTATTACTTCTTTAGAATATGTAAATGCTTCAATGTGCATAGTCTAGGCACCAGGGGCGGACTTACAACTCATGGGGTTTCCGGGCAATAGGACATCATGGGGCTCCTATGTCCCTCGCCCACACTCAAGCCACACCCAAAAAAGCCTATGAAAGGTACCAGGGGCATCTCATGGGCCCCCTACTAACCCCGGGCCCTTGGGCAGTGCCGGAGTGCCTAAATGGTCAGTCTGCCCCTGCTAGTCACATGTTTCCTTTTTAGTGGGTTTGTTCAACAAGGCAGATAAAACACAATTGTAATCTGCAGTAATCCACAGCGGATGGAAATCTATCACTTATCTGATGTGACTCAAGCACATTTATTTATTTTATTTATTTCAGGTACTTCTATAGTGCTGTCAATTTACGCAGCGCTTTACATATATATTGTACATTCACATCAGTCCCTAACCCTCAAGGGGCGTACAATCTAAGGTCCCTAACTTACATTCATACATACACATACTAGGGACAATTTAGACAGGAGCCAATTCACCTACCAGCATGTCTTTGGAGTGTGGGAGGAAACCGGAGTACCCGGAGGAAACCCACGCAGGTACAGGGAGAACATGCAAACTCCAGGCAGGTGGTGCCGTGGACCCAACGACCCTAGTACTGCCAGGGGGAAGTGCTAACCATTTAGCCACTGTGATATTATATATAAATTAATATTGTTTTATGGCTCATTGTCACCAGTCTGCCCACACTGTCATGAAGCGAACTGGGCTATGTAGCTATACATGCTGCATATTTATGTAGTGCACACATGTAGGGTGGAAACAGGACACATAGAAAGCAACTGTTTTCTACATGCCATTGCACTGAGCCTGTGTTGATTTCTGCTGATCACTGGAGCATTGAGCTAGACACACTGAAGACGTATTGAATACGGCCAATGCAGCCCCAAGTCTCTGTGTTCACATTACAAGCTGTTCTTGTAGACAGATGATGGAGGCCAGACATTATTAACAAGTGGCCTGGGCACATTGGAACAAGAAGCATGTGTGCTCGTATTTTCTACCTTCTTTCACCAAGTCAAAACCTGCTATAAATCAACTGTCGTATAAGATCAACTTAAAACACATGGAATGATATTACAGTACCATGGGGGTATCCGTTAGCAAAGTTTTCAAGTCCTTGAAGTTGCTTTGCACCAATTTCTTTGATCCTCGGATCTGGCTAGTAAGATTCTGATTTGCAGCAAAAGCACAGAGCACTCCCAGGCTGTTGAAATATGGGAACATAATTAGTAAAAAAAGAATGATAATCCTTGTTATAAACCTTATATTATTACTATTATTATTGATGAAAGGAAGAATACAGGACAATAAAGGCACATAAACTCACCTACATCAGAAATTTAAACCGTGCCGCCCTATAGCAGAATTACTGCTACAAGGCGGCACGGGTGCGCAAAATCATGTATACATACATGATTTTGCAGTTCCAGGAAGGCCTCTGCTGTCAATCACCAGGTCCCGGATGCTGATTACTTGAGTATCTCCGATGGGGGAGAGACCTGTGTATAAACACCACAGATCTCTCCCCTGTCAGTTCCTGCACACTGCTTTGTATGGCTCTGCATAGCAAAGCCATACAAAGCAGAGTGCTTACAGTGAAGCACGCACACAGCCAACATAGTGAAACAGCACACAGTTAACCCTTTGATCACCCCAGATGTTATCCCCTTCCTGCCCAGTGCCATTAGTACAGTATCAGTGCTTTTCATTAGCACTGATCACTGTATTGGTGTCAGTGGGGATGTCAGTGACACCAAGTCGGTTCCCCCCCAGTGTCAGAATGCCTGCCACAGTCCCACTATAAGTCGCTGATCGCCGCCATTACTAGTAAAAAAGAAAAATTCCAGTATCTATACGCCATTTGTAAATGCTATAACTTTCACGTAAACCAATTCATTTACACATACTGGGATTTTTTTCAGCAAAGACATGTAGCAGAATACATTTTGCCCTAAATGTATGACGAAATTACATTTTTAACATTTTTTTATTAGACATGTTTAATAGCAAAAAGTCAAAAATACAGTTTTTTTTATTACAATTGTCAGTTTTTTTTTTATTTATAGCATAAAAAATAACAAACACACAGGTGATCAAATACCAGTGAAAGAAAGCTCTATTTGTGGAAACAAAGGACGTAAATTTCATTTGGGTGCAGCGTTGCATGACTGCGCAATTGTCAGTTAAAGTAATGCAGTGCCGTATAACAAAAAATGGCCTGGTAGGGGAGGGGGGTAAATCCTCTGGAAGGCAAGTGGTTAAAGGGTATTTCCAGTTTTGCAGCTAAATTGGGATAACACCTACTTTATATTTGTTACATGTCCCCATTTACACAGCATAACTTAAAATATATATATATATTTAAAATGGCAGCTTACCTTTTTAGATGCTCTGTTCTAGAACCTCCAGCAAGAAAAAAAAAATCTTAGGAGACTGGGCGGCTGTGTTTGCCATAATTGATGTTGTCAGTAGTGTGCAGGTAGATTTTTATTTTCAATTGGAACTACATTTTAACAGTCTGCTCTAACAAAAGGTTAAAGGTGTAGAGACTAGTCTTCTTCCATTGTATGTTAATGAGGACAGACTTGGGACAGGCTTGCTCTAACATTGCTCAGGAATCCTTGAAGTCGGCTACAGTTGTTTGTAAACATAACAAGTTCTGGTTAACAATTTTTTTAAAAAAAACAACGTGCTTCCCCCAATCAACACCAGGCCCTTCAGGTCTGATATGGATTTTGAGGGGAACCCCATGCCACTAGGTGACCCCCTCTTCACGTGTACCTGTCATTTGGCGAGTGCAACGTCGAAAGACACTCGCCGAATGACAGGTAAACACGGGGGGGGGGGGGTGTGGTCATCTGGTAGTGTCACCCCACTCCCATATTTACTGGTCATTTAGCAAGTGTCTCTTGACGAGACTAATCATGTTCGGTGGACTTTTTTTGCTTCATCCTGTGGATCTGTGTTCATTGTGATTGGTGCTGGATTTCGGGGGACATGTTATTTTAATAAAGGACTTGTCAAAAACTGTTTTTGTTTTTTTATTTAATTTTGACATGGTGAATGAGTAGGGCTACTATGTACTCCATACTTATTCACATCGGGGAAGGGTGGGATCTGGGAGCCCCATATTCTTAAAAGAAACCCCCACAACCACTGTGCCAGGGTTTTGGGGACAAGGCTCTTGTCTTCATCAACATGGGGACAAGGTGCTCTGGGGGGGAGCCCCCATCCCCAAAAGCACCCTTCCATGTAGAGTGCATGTGGCCTGGTATGATTCAGGAAGGGGGAGCCACTTGCTCATCCCTGTCCCCCCTTTCCTGGTCTGCCAGGCTGCATGCTTGGATAAGGGTCTGGTATGGATTTTGGGGGGACCCACTACATTTTTTTCCCTAATTTTGGTGTAAGGTTCCCCTTAAAATTCATACCAAACCCATGGGTCTGGTATAGATTTGGGGAGGGGCGCGCCATTTTAAAAAAGATTTTGATATGGGTTTCCCCTCAAAGTCCATACCAGACCGGAAGGGGACCCCAAGCTGTAGTTTTTTTTTAACCGGCACTTGATTTATTTACATTCTGCTGTCAGTGAGGAATTTTGCTGACAGCAGATGAGTCATGGTTGTTAAGGGCGCGTTGGGCCTCCTGCTCCTTAACAACCAGCTATTACGAATGAAACAAAACAAATGCTGAAGATATGAAACGAATCCTGAAAATGAATTAATTCAATTCACGAATGCATCCAAAAAATAAAATAAAATTCTTCAATTAACAAATGTATCCGAAATGAAACAAAAATTGGCAGCATGCACATGTCTATTCAACATAATACTATACAAGGCTGGAGAGGGAGTCATGGGCTTTTACTATGGGTGTGGGACAAGGGGCTCTACTGTACTAAAAGGGTCATAAAATGCTTGAGAAATATGAAAAGTCCTGCCATACTGTAGGAGTTAAAGTGTTACTAAACCCAGGACCCTGCATTCACTATATCTGATCTCCCACAGTACACAGAACATGGAAATGTAATTATTTTAGTAAATATAAACTGCTAAATACATTTTTTCATCAGCACTATATAATAATCTTGTGACTTCTATCAGAGTCCTGCCGAGCATTCGTTAAAGCTTGTAGAAGGAGTTTTCATTCTGTTCTGACTGTCCTATGAGGGTGCATGACCCCTTACCCTTTGTCTGGACAGTGCTGATTGGCCCTGTGCTGATCACATGCACCCTCCCAATACAAAAAAAAAAAACTCTCTGGCAATACACAGCAAACGGAGTATGTGCAGAGCGTCTTCTAGGGCTCTGTACTATTGCAGGGGTGGGCAAACTTTTTGACTTGAGGGCCGCAATGGGTTCATATATTGGACCCGGGGGCCGGACCAAGAGTAGATGAATGATGTGTATGTGTCATTATGCTGTTACACAGTTAATATTCATGTTAATGTACATGAGAATTCATATAGTTTATTTTTTGTACCATTTTCTATGGACATTTCTATAGTTAGTAATGCTGCCATCCAGTGGTCTTATTTGGTATACACTTTGTTTTTTATGTTGCCTCCCTGAGATCTATGACACAGTTCCTTTGTATATGAAGCTCCTCCCTTCTTCTTGAGTTCAGCACTTCCTGTGTCATGGAGGCAGCTAACAGACCACATGTAACAGGGACACATGTATTCTGCATAGTACGCTACAGAAAGTATCATCTTTTGACCGCATAATACTGGAAACCATTCATTCTGCTGTATCCTGTTGTCACATGTACAGAATAAAGCAACTTCTGGATGAACACAGTATTGGTGAGTTCAGCTATCTGATAAGGATTGTCCACAGTGATTATATCTGCTTATACAGGCTAGGCAGAGAGGTCTCACAAGGGATAAATCGCTATCACAACAATCTGAGTCAGAATAGTCATCCATAGTAAGTATAGTAATATTCCCCCACAGTAAGCATAGTAATTAATCCCCCATATAGTAATTCATCCCCCATAGTAATTCATCCCCCATATAGTAATTCATCCCCCATAGTAATTCATCCCCCATATATTAATTCATCACCCATATAGTAATTCATCCCCCATAGTAATTCATCCCCCCTATAGTAATTCATCCCCCCTATAGTAATTCATCCCCCATAGTAATTCATCCCCCATATAGTAGTTCATCCCCCATATAGTAAATTCATCCCCCATATAGTAATTCATTCCCCATATTAATTCATCCCCCATATTAAGTCCCCAAGTTCCCCCTGTGTCAATTCACTTACCTTTGCTCCGCACGTTCCTCTCGCCGTGTTCCCGCACCGTTCCTGTCTTCAGGGCGGACTGTGAGAGGAGCCTAGCTCCCCTCCCCTCACGTTCCTCACGCTGCCCCCCCCCCTACACACATTCTGACAGCCGATGTTTGCCACGCTCCACGGGCCGTATACGGCCCGCGGGCCGTAGTTTGCCCATTGCTGGTACTATTGGTATATGAATTGGGGACAGTAGAAGAGAGGGAGGATCAGAGAAGACAGGATCAAACAGCCTTTTTACACACTGTGAAGGAGTAACCCCTTAGGTTCCACAGTGAGCATAACAAGCAAGCTTTACTGCATATAAAGACTGATTTTACTGTTGTGGATTTAGTAACACTTTAAAGAAAAATGTAAAAACAGTTTTGTTACTAAAGTTTGAAGTGTCGTACCAAATAGTTAATGTACTGCATTTTGTATAATGGGCATACGTGTATTATGTGCACAATATTGTCTCAATAAAAAGTATTTAATAAAAATTAATAATACTCATAATATTTTAGGGTAACTAGGGAGGCTTTATATTACTTTAGAATTTTTCAGCATACACAAACTTGTGTTCTCATTTTCCCAAGAGTTTGTGCTTTGTGGGAAGTTCCATAAGTAAGGCCACTGACAGTTTCATTGCAATATCACACCTACAGCCAGCATTCATTAGCAGAGACTTCAGGCACAGCTTACCTTATTAGCAGAGATGTCACAAACAGGAAGGTGGCGAAGCATCCTCTCTGACAGTCTGCATTCTTCTTTTGTCTCTGGTGCATCTCCCCGCCACAGTTATCACAACAGCGACACATGCAGAAGCATAGCCCCACCATAGGCATGAGCAGGAAGAACAGGACCCCAAGGGCTGTCGCCACAATGAAGCCAATCTCATAGTGGATTGTCTGAAACGACAAAATTACAATGAATTTCATTGATGAAATAGTCTTGTAGAACCCTGTGTGCTACCTGGAGCAACCACATTCTGTCATTTATTTCTCTAGTGTAGGTTAGGAATAAAAGGAGGAGATTCTGGCTGTTAATTGTCCAGTCCTCCCAAGTGTGGCCAGGGACTAAAGCACAGAGATCTCAACAACAGAGTCCCCAAGAGGTAGATGAAATTGTCTGGGGGTTTAAAGTTGAACTCTAGGCAGATATAAAAAGACACAAATGAATGCTGCTCTGTATTCATTACAGTAAAATCTGGGATAAAACTAAGGATAAAACTGCTCTCGCTCCACTTCTAACACCTATGCGGTCTACCCTGTGTAGCACTACCCCTAAGGGGTTGCCTATGAATTTGGGTCCCCCTATAGTCCTGCACAGCCAGTCATTAAGTATTTTCCACACAAGCTTTAATCCAGAGACAGAAACCAGTCCTTGAGCATTGGTTTTGTTGATTATTGAGGGGATTAAAACTTGGATATGGAAAGGGGTTATAGGATGCCCAATGGAACTGATTTCTGAGGAAAACTTCCTGAACTATTCACGAGCTTCTCTTCTCTGATACAGTCACTGTTGGAGTGCTAGCCAGCAGTTCCTGGTTGTACCACCCCAGACGCTAGATGAACTTCTCCTTTTCACCCAGCAATCTGGAGACTTTCTTTCTGAGCTGGGGATCTGGCTCCTGTTGCTTTAATTGAGGTGAATAGTCACTAGTAGGGGGCTAATCTGGTTTATCACCATCCGCCCAGGAGGTACAGGTGTACTCACTCAGATCCTCTTCTGTACCACTTGCAGGTTGGCTGCTGCTACCAGTCCTATCAGCTGGGCTGCTACATCCCTGCCGAGTTTTCTGCCTTTCCAGCTCCAGGCTCGCACGCAGGCCCCATTGCACTAGGCCTCCTGGCAGTCTTCCTCCTTCAGCCTCACATCTTCCTCTTTCTTCCACCCGACTCCTCTCACTCCCACACTCCTGCCACAGAGCAGGCTCTTATACTTTTAAGGGAATCCCAGCCCCTTGCCAAGCCTTCTGCTGGGGATTAAGGTCCCTCAAGAGTGCAGCCAGCCATTCTATCAATCCACCTACTGTCTCCAAGGCCCTCCTCCGAAGCCTCAGAGCAGGGAGAAATTCTAGAGTGGGTTGGCCTGCAGAGTTTCTCAGCCCTAATCACAATTTGACCTGCTAGCCAGCTCCTGACTAACCATTAGGATCTAACTCCCCCTAGCTGCACTAGGAGGGTGCTACACCTGTAAAAGACAGAAGCATATACTTATCTATTCTGGGGGCACTCTGGTCCGGTCACGTGATCTCCCTTGCGCCAGCCACCGCCAAATGCAGGAGGAGAGAGAGGAGAGAGAGCGGTCCAACAAGAGCTAGAATGCCTATATAGTGATGTCACCCATAGGCTTCCTATAGGCCATCCATTGTCGGGGCTCCCTCCACTCCCCTAAAGCAGATGCTGACAGAGGGGAGTCAATCACATGAGCAGGCTGAAAATATGCGAGTATATGCATCTTTCTTTCTCAGGGTAATTAGTATTGCTTTTAAAAGGGGGTGGGAACAGTAAATTTAAAGTGATAGTTTCCCTTATTTAACGAGAAAATAACAAACATGCCCTAATTACCTGCTCTGTGTAATGGTTTTGCACAGAGCAGCCTTGAATCTCCTCTTTTCAGGTCCCCCGCCGGCACTCCTGGCTCCTCTTCTCTTGTGGGTGCCACCATAGCAAGTGCCTTGCTCCTGAGCCGCTCTTTGTGTCCATTGACACACAGAGCACAGCTCAGCCCCGCCTCTTCCTCACTGACTGCAACTGACAGCAGCGGGAGCCAATATCTCCCATTGCTGTCTCGAAGTCAATAAGGAGGGAGAGAGTAGAGAGAGTCTCTGCTCTTGTACACTGGGTTGAGATTGGGGGCTGGGGGGAGAGATGCACTCAGAAGGCTTTTTACCTTAATGCAGAGAATGCCTTAATATTAAAAAAAAACCTTCAGCCTTTAGAGCCATTTTAGGGTTTGTTGCATCCTGGAATTCTACTTTAATACATCATTTAATGTATTTTGGAAATACAGTGTAAGTACCTGAATTGGCTGCAGGAAGTATAAGATCTGTAAGTGCTACTTAAAGAACTATCACATCATACTGTATATGTTTGATGCTCCATTCCTCCAGGGTACAAAGTAATTATAGCACTCTGCCCATCTTTCTAGAAGCTATGGAGGCTGAGATCCAGTATGTGACAGCATGCCCCAAGTTCCTCCCTCCAATTACCAGCCATACCGCTTCAAGATGATGGATGTATGACTGACAGCGCTTTTGAGTCACCGTCTGTGTGCTTTCCCAATGCAAACACTGTCCCTCTGAATACAGAGGAGAGGGTGTATCAGTTTCACACTGCAGAACACAGGCACGCTCACCGCAGCACTGTTCTGGTACCGCTCACACATATCCAGCTTGGAATAGCAGCAATGTCAGAACCAGGCCCCATTTCAAGCTGTAGATAGACCACCGTCCAGGGTTTTCATAACAAATAGTACTTTAAAATCATTCATTCAAGCCTAATTCTGTTCTTTAATTAACACTTACAGGTCTTGTCCTTCCTTCAGCCAGTGAAGGGAGAAACAGAAAACTGAGAAGCTCATCTCTCTGTCATTCTGCTTGCTTGCACATGACTATGTCAGCACAACTGGTTGGCTTCTTGTGCTGTTTCTCCTCTCAGTCGGAGCTCTGCTGTACATGGGAATGACTGGAGGCTGATCCCAAGTCAAATTCAGGTACTTACACTATGTATACAAAATACATTTAATGATGTAATAAAGTAGAAGTCCAGTCAAATCCTAGCGTAAACCTACTCCCACCCCCATTATAAGTTCTATACTAAGTAAACTGTAGGGAAAAGACTTGTATATTTACCTATTCACTGGGCGGTCCAGGTCCAGTCATATGATCTCTCCAGTGGCTGGCTTCAGTGAAGAGTAGAGATTGATGACAACAGCTGTAATGCCTATGCAATGGTGATGTCAACCACAGGCTTTCTATAGGGTATTCATTGTCAACTGTCTCTCCAGTGAAGTCGGCACAGGGAGCCAATCATGTGACCGGAGCACCTTCAGAATAGCTAAGTTACATAGTTAGTCTGGCTGAAAAAAGACAAAAGTTCATCCAGTTCAACCATAAAAAAAAAGTTATAATCCTACACCCACAATTGATCCAGAGGAAGGCAAAAAAAAACCCCAGCAAAGCATGATCCAACTTGCTCCTGCTGGGAAAAAAAATTCCTTCCTAATCCCCCGAGAGGCAATCGGATATTCCCTGGATCAACTTTACCTATAAATGTTAGTATCCAGTTATCCATATCTTTCTTCTGAATAGAGTGGTGAGGGGTTAGAACACCTATCACATTGCTGTCTCTGTCCCAGTGAGAGAGAGCCATCCTATCTATTTGCCCTGATGACAATTTTTACCAGGACTGATGGTGAAGGAAAAATGAGAACAGGAATAGAGGAGGAGGAGAAATTTTTCAGTGGGGACACCTTAGGGGGGTTTTCCCTGAAAATGTGACACCTGTGCACAAAATGGGGTGAACAGGAAAATGGTGGGTTCGCAGGCTGCAGTAACATTTTATTCTGTAAAATGGGGATGGGCTAAAATCTCTTTAAGTTATTATTCCTTTCTGTACCTCCCAGTGACAACAGATCCCATAATATCCTCTCCTACTGTCACTGGCTATCACAGGGACAGAAAATGTAGGTGACATTTCCCTATCTTGGTCATGGACAACTGTAACATCTTGACATGACTGATTCTTATCAAGTATATCCAAGACTAGAAATGATTTTGGCTGGAGTTGGGCTTTAAATAATACATGGATCATAAAACATTTTTCGTGCTGTCTCTTTATAAATGCTGTCTTGGGCATCTGCCGAGTTCCCTCTGTAATTATTACAGCTCTGAAAAGGGCAGTATGTTATTTGATGGTAACATGTTATGCCTTTTTCGGGGCATTTATTTTACTTTCATATACTGCCTTAATGTAAAAGTATAGCAAAGATCTTAGATGCCCTTAATAATGAATATAAAGTCAGCTGTCACTCTGAAAGTATGGTATGAAGACACTTTCCTTTCCACCACTAGGCATACATGAGGCTCAACACACAAGTATTTTCATACTGTTCAATGTTTTCTGAGTCACGAATGTTAAAATAACCTGTCAGGTCGTAATTGTGCACAAACCAAAATTAACCCTTGAATTATACTATACAGAAGGCCTTGACTTCTCTCATTGTTCTAGGCTGAGTACCACTCCTAGTATTCAGTAGCCAATATAGGATCCTCAGAGGCCAGTAGGCGCTTCCATACTGGACTGTTAGTTGGCTTTGACCTTTGTAAGTGAAAGAAGGGTTTTTGTTTAAAAGAGTCTCTCCAGACTGGGCCATTTAGGAGCTTTTATACTGCCTGTACAAACTTACAGAGAACTGCAGTACCCCCTCCCACAAAAAGCACACTGATGCAGAAATAGGATTTGGCTATGGGTGATGGTCCCAATAATGTCTAGCTCCATCTCAGCTTAGAGAAATGTTATAACCTCTTGCAGTTGATAGGCACAATAAATCAGTGATTTAACCAGGTAATTTTAGCTCAATTTAAACTTTATTGAACCCTTCCCAGACTCCATACACCCTGCTCTGCAGACATCTCCTTCAGCTGGATGAGAAGGTCATGAATGATTCACCACTGTCAAAAATAATTCATATTGGCAGTATAACAAATTAGTGGCAGCACTGTAATCTCTAATAGACATTTGGACACTCTCCAGACATTTTGTCTCTGTACTGTGTCATTGTTTAAATTAAGGTGATTGTAATTATTATTTTATTATTCTATCTTGGAACCAGTTTTGTCCTTTAGTGTTCTTCATGACCTATATCTGCAAAGAGGCATATTTTTAAAGGGTCATTAATACTCAAATCTGGGTTTTCCTATGCAACAGTCTAAATTTGAGTTTCACATGTCAGTATTAGTATTTACAGGTGTTAGAAAATATTTGCTTAATCCATCATTAAGGACTGGATCAGGAAATATTGCTGTGTTTGTAGGTACCACCATGACCATGGCCTGGTCATTGCTTCCTGGCTGAGCCTGTTCAATGCAAAGTTCATTTGCCAGGACAGATTTGCACCCACTCCACACCTCCTCCAAACCACCAGCATGCAATTTTCCTGAATGCAAATTTATATGTTTTTAGAAATATCTTCACAAGATTATTAAGTGGCTAGGTAGTGCATGAACACAATTTTATTTTTGTAGGCAGCATTTGCATTCCTGTAAATGACATTGAGACCCATCCACCATACTTGTACCAAGACACGTGGACACATAAGACCATGCTACTGTACTAAAACCAGTAAATAAGGGGTGATAAAACTGTATTAAGCCTACTACAGGCCCAGTACAGTAAAATCATTTTGCTTTAACCTCTTCCCAGCTGCAATCTGCAGATTAACTATCCTGGGCTTGATGGCCCATGTTGAAACAACTTTGTCAGTACCTCCAGCAGCAGCTCCATTTGACAGCTAGTAGTGTGCACAGGATTCCCCTATAACATAGCAATCATATGCAAGCTGTCAGGTTTCCTTAAAAACACACTTACCAGATTACCAAAGCTGCACCAGCCTGCAGATGGCAGTATGCTTCTGTTTAATATTGTAAGGGTAACATACAATTACATCACTATAATAAATAATGTTACCTTTTTTTTTTTATAAATATGTCAACCTATAATAAAAACAGGATATAGTATTTATTAAACAGTGTTCCAAAATAAAAACCTTATAGGTCCTTGAAAAAATCTTAAACAATAAGATACGTACATATCAGAGTTATCAAGTTAACCTTGCATACTGATGCTGTTAAATTTGGACTGGATCTAGGATGAAATTACTTCTGGTCACAAAAGGGTTAAAGGGGAAAATCTCATTCATCTTAAATAAATCCATATAAATGTACATGATGTAATGTAATTGGTATAATATTGTTTATACTTTTCATATTCACATTATCCTTGCATTTGGTTTGTCTCACAAATTCATAATGTAATCTTAGGCTAGGCTCAGTAATGTTCAGGGGCGGACTGACCATTTGGAAACTCAGGCACTGCCCGAGGGCCCGGGGTCAGTAGGGGGCCTCAAGAGATGCCTCTGGGACCTTTTCCATAGGCTTTTTTGAGGTTGGGCAAGGACACAGGGGCCCCATGAGTTGTCAGTCCACCCCTGGTAATGTTTTAGAGTTTCTAAAATGTTTTCAGATTTCTTCTAGTGGAAGACATCTAGGGATGCAGAATCAATGCCTGATAGATTCTGCTGTTTGGTTTTCCTGAGCCAGCAAGCCAGCTTGTAGAAAATTATTTCTCTCTTTATGTGGACCTAACTAGTTGCATACTTGTTTTACGTCAATAACTTCTTCATTCCTCCCAAGACCTCCTGCTCTTTAGCTCCCTTGTCACCTCCTCCCATACCTGCCTCCAGGACCTTTCCTGAGCCTCTCTCATCCTGTGGAACTCCCTACCCAAATCTGTCTAGCTATCTCCTACTCTGTCCATTTTTAGGCAATTCCTGAAAACCCTTCTCTTCAGAGAAGACTATCCCACCACCACCTAACAACTGTATTTCTACTTACTTCATCAGCTCATTCCCCACAGTTATTACCTTTTGTATCACTTGACCCTCGTCTTAGAGCTTACAATCTAACGAGCAGGGCCCTGATTCCTCTTGTACCAAATTGTAATGTAACTGTGCTGTCTGCCCTTATGTTGTAAAGCGCTGCGCAAAGTGTAGGCGCTATATAAATCTTGTATAATAATAATAAACTAAAAAATATTGAGGCGTGAGGAGATCAGCATAATAGCCCAGCAACTAGCATTTTTTATAAGGAATTCGGCTGTCTTGGTAAAAATAGGGAAATGGACATTGAGGACATATGTGGACATTTATCATTGCAGACAAGTAATAACTCAGAATCCCTTGCCTGAACTCGTGCTGTGCATATTGTGTTTTATACAGACCTCCCTTGGGTGACCAGACATTCCAAACAAATAGCACAAGATCTCAATTGCATCCAAAAAATATCAAACTGACAGAGTTCTAGATGGCATCAGACATACTAATGAATGCTGCTGGTGTACAATGTCACTAGAAAAGATTACCTGCAAAGTCAGGACAACATTCTCCGGCTGTGCCAGTCACAGCAGATGTGGAAAGCATGGAATGAAGAAGCAACAGTTTCAGCATAATATTAAAGAAATCAGAAGTGAACAAAACATGGCATGCCAATTGTTAAAATAAAGCTGTTCCAAAGATTACTAAAGGTTCTTGTGCAGACAAAGCCATGTTTTTTTTAATAATCAATTAAAATTGGGCTTGGATTAAACTTCAGAATGTTTAATGTTTTAAAAAAAATATTAATCCAAATTTAAAATAAGATTTGGGTTTAGATATTGTATGGAGTAGGTAATGGATAAAATACCAGTATTTTCCCAATAGGGAAATTTCCATTCACCTCCCATCCTGGAAACACAACAGAAAGTAAAAAGAGACTTCTCAAAGGTGAGGGAAAATCCATTTATGGAGAGCTTGTACTGAAACATATGTTGCCATTGAAAGGTTTCCTCTCTTTTCCTGTTTCGGTGACCAGTGAAAAGTGTTGGCTTTCCCCCACTCTCTACAAAACTTAAAACTATATATTCTTTAAAATGTAATCTCTTATTTAGGTTACTTTAAGCATAGCCCCGCTTCATGGGTTAACTGCTCATTTTGTCCAGGAGCTCAGAGAAAAGCTATACCTACCCTGTGCTTCGATCTTCCAGAAAACAGCGCTCCCCCACATCCAGCGGTGGACTGTTCCCGCCGTCCTCACGTCCAGAGCCGGAGTATGGGCTTGATGACATCAGGAACAGTCCATTCACAAGACGGCCAGCGTGCAATGGGGCAGGGGTAGTGGGGACCAGTCTTGTGCTCAGAGGATCGGTGGATTAGGTAAGTATATGTAAGCTTTCTGAACCTCTAGACAAAAACAAGTATTTAACCCATGCAGTGCTAGCACAGCCCCACTGCATGGGACAAAAAATTTTTTCCCGGAATTCTTCTTTAAAGTGGTATTAAACCCAAAAGCAAACACTAATTATATTGCAGCTTATTCATTCTTAGATGTGATGGCTGTATTAGTTTTCCTTTTTTAGGCTTTATTTCTTTTATTTTCACCTGGCGATCCTGACAGTAATTCTGTTGCTTGTCAACAGAACAAGCACTCCTGCAGATGTAGCAGTCAGAATGATGAGACAAACCATTTACCACTGACAGGGGTGCTTACAATGACCAGCGTTTATTTATTCATGTAAAATCTTTATCCAAAAAGAAAAAAAAACAGTTTCTGTAACTGGTTGTGTAACTGCAGTGTTAGCTGGAGTTTGGTTTCAATTTGTCAGTGTATCTAAATCTGCTAGTACATCCAACAGTCCCCTCCCCCCAGAATGACAATGCTGCTGTCGAAAGATGTCCCCAGTGCTCCTTCATCCAGAGCAGGGACACTCTAATACAGGAGGTGGGTTCTGGCCAAATTACAGGTGAAAAAAGCCAAAGGGAAATCTAATGCAGCCACAACATCTGATTGTTAAGCTGCAATATATTACACTTCTGGTTGTGGGTTCAGTACCACTTCACAGAGAAATGCACCCTTGCATTATTTTAATTCTCCCCTTGTTGCTTCCTAAAAAGCTGAGACTTGTTTTGCATTTTTTTCTTTCACAGTCACCCCTCCCCTGCCTTCATTCTTGCCTAGGCGATAATGATACAAGCCCTGCTTCCTATGCCTCCTGGCATGTCCTCTACCCCATATATCCAAGGATGCAGCGCCTGCAGGAGGATGTACCTGGTGGTACATCATCAGGGGGCTGCTGGTACATACATCATCAGGGGGCTGCTGGTACATCATCAGGGGGCTGCTGGTACAAATCAGGGGGGCTGCTGGTACATCATCAGGGGGCTGGCTGCAAAAAGCCAGAAGGGACAGACGGCTCCCGATACCACATAAAAAAAAATCTTGTTTTAGAAATGACATTGTGGTGTAAAGTTCTTCTTTCATTTTTCAACGTATAACATTGCAAGTAACTATAGGGGCTACTGTTATGGACTCCCAAATGTTGACAGGTCCAACATCAGAAAGTTGACATTACAACTAATGTCATACCCCAAGTGACTGCCACCATTCAACTTAAAGCATTGGCACAAAAGCCACAAATAATACTCATAATTTTGTAATATCTGGAAAAGATCAGCTTCTATTTGTTGCCTTTTGCAGGGCAGAAAACTATTCACTAGCTTTCGATCCTAGGAGAAAAAAAGCATTAAGAACATTTGACTAGAAGAGTTAAATTAATTGTAAGGGTTTTTTTTTTTATAATGACAAAAATGTTATACTTACCTGCTCTGTGCAATAGTTTTGCACAGAGCCATCCCGATCCTGCTCTTCAGGGCCCCCACCAGCACTTTGGGCTCCTCCTCCTCTCCATGTGCCACCATTGGAAACCACTCCCTATGGTGGCACACATGCGGGTCTCAATCCCAAACCATGCTGTGCATGTTTATGGACACACACAGTGCTGCTTGGCCCTGCCCTCCTCTCCCTCATCACTGGATTTGATTGATAGCAGTAGGAGCCAAGGGCACAGCACTGGATTGAGATCAATTACCAATAAACCATTTAGAAAAAAAACAACATTCAACCAACAGAGAAAATGGGCTAGCACTATAGGCTAAAAACATTCAATCAGGAGAGGAAATAATATGAGGGAGACCTCTGCATTGTGTACATAATACTGCAGAGTGAACTACCATACAGAAACATCATAGAAACAGAACTCCATTGTTAGAATACTTTACTGGACTGAAACCTTTCACAGGTGATCACAGGTGAGTATCAGAGCACCTGAGGTAAACAAAAGAGTTCAGTTTAGCATCTGTTTAGTAATCCGTACAATTTGATTCTATGTGGTTTGTTGGTTCCCAGTTCTTTCTATGACAAGCTGTTGGGTGCTGTACCAGAGACTGGGTGCATAAAGGTTTGTTAGCCGTGATGATAAGTTCTAGGAGCTCATCATTCAATAATGGGGTTGATTTACTAAAACCGGAGTGTGCAAAATCTGGTGCAGCTCCACAGAGAAACCAATCAGCTTCCAGGTTTTTTTTTTTTTTCCAAAACTTAGTTGAACAAGCTGAAGTTAGAAGCTGATTGGCTACCATGCATAGCTGCACCAGATTTTGCACTTAACTGTTTTAGTAAATCAACCCCAATGTCTTGAAAAAATCCACGGTGTAAAATCTATGACATCAACAGCTCTGCCCAGTGAGGACAGTAAATAGTGGTATTTGGGGGTGTGAATGATCCCACCGGAATCCGGAGAGGTATATACAGGTGGAATGGTGTTCATCTGATGTAACGCTCCCACGTGTGTTTCCTCATTGCCTGCTGGCATTGGGTTTCAAAGAAACTGGCGCTGTCATTGGTGAAAGATTCCGCTTCCAACACCAACTCAGATGAACTGTCTAACCATAAGAGGGCATATGCCTCTTCCAAGGAATAGGCAATATAGGCACACAATTACACCTTTCTAAAAAAAAAAAAAAAAAGTATATATTTTTTTTTTAACCTCTTGCCGTCCCGCTTCTGTACATTTACTGCAGCAAGGGCAGGTACAGTCATTAATATATATATATGACAGCCTGCTTTCGGGTCTGCACCCCCCCGCTGACCCATTCTGTGACTAGACACAGCATGACTTTGGCTAAGATTTTGGCTGAAGTCAGCTGATCGGCTGTGCTCAATCACACACAGAGTAATGTGTATAGTGAACAGCGCTCTCGATGTTTTTTCTCCCTGTAAAGCAGGGAGAAAAAACAGCCATACAGTAAAGTAAAGCAGCACACATTACACTTCTTAGGCACACAATTAACCCATTAAGTGCCATTATATGTTAACCCCTTCCCAGCCAGTGTCATTAGTACAGTGACTGTGTACAGTATTAGCACTGATCACTGTATTAGTGTCACTATTGATGTCAGAGTCAGTCAGATAATGTACCTCCCATCCAGCATCAGCTAGCAACAGATTGCCCACCACACTGTCATAGTCCCAATGTAAGTCGCTGATCCTACTAATTACCAGTATAGCATCATAGCTGCATAAATTCAAGTATATATACTATAGTTTATAAACGCTATAAAACTTTTGCACAAACCAATTACTATACACTTAAATTGTTTTTTTCCAAAGACATGTAACACAAACAGAAACAAAACTGGAAAATTACGCAGACTACATACCTCACATGAATAAATCTAAAAATATATCATTTTTAAATTCTAAAATGCAGACACCAAAAGCTGGTTCACACTGGTGCACTGCGGTTTGCTTGTGGTTTTAGATGCTCTCCTGTTGACTTCTATTAGGCTATATGGTTTCTGAAGTGCTTCAAAGACTTAAGACTTAAAACAACAGGTAGACCACACATACAATCGTGCACTGATGTGATCCCACTCCAAAGCTGGCAATAGATGGATCAAACTCAGCCATATTCAGCAGGGACCTGCCAAATTTCAATCCATCTATAGCCGTTCCTGCTTGATAGAAGTCAATCTAACAATCGACTACTGTCAAACAGGAATATTGGAAAACTTTTGTTGACCAGCGAGTGCAGCATCTGCTCAGTGTAGTCTGACAGCAGAGAAGACTATATTAATTGTTATTGGAGGTCATGGCACTGGGTGTACCCTTTGCCTGCATAGTTTGTACTGAAAGGTGTCTCTCATCTCAGAAAGTTGGGAGGTTTGCAAAAGATCGTCCTACTTTTTAACATTGCTACATACAGCTATTTTAGTAAAACTGCAGTTTTAGATTACCTTTTGATAGTCACTGCGTGATGAGCCAAACTTCTGTACTGCTATCCGCTTTACCAAATCTGAAAAGTACAAATGAAAAGATTGTGAGAATGATATCATAGCAAACAAAATACTTAACGCAGGGGTGTCCACACTATTGCCCTCCAGGTGTTGAGGAACTGCAAATCCCATGAGGCCTTGCAAGACTCTGACATTCACAGGCAAGACACCCAGAGGCAGAAGCATGATGGGACTTGTAGTACTTCAACAGCTGGAGGGTCATTGTTTGGACACCCGTAAGTCTTAACGTATACAGTACTTAACATTAGCTTTCGGGCTCTGTTTTTAATCCAAGATATGAAAACACTCTAAAGCTCACTTCACGCTTTACAATCTGAATAACTTCCAGCACCAGCACCTCCCGGCCCTTTAAGGGCTTTGGGGTTTCTGATCATATGACCACCGTGGTTGGCTATCAGCCAATTGGATCAGCTTCCGATCGCAAGTAAAGAGTGGGAGCTTTCTGTTAGCCACTGGTAACTGTGCCAGGAGCACACACGGTGCGCCCTCTTGGCACAGTTCTGTTTATCTTTAGGTATACATATATGTGTTAAGGCCCACCCACCGAAAGGCCGCATATGCGTACAGCCAGTGGAAGGAGTTAAACAAATTTTTTTAGCAACAAATTTGTAGTGCAAGCGGCTGTCTGATTGGATATATATTGAACTGGATAATTTAGGTAGGTCTTCATATTACATAATTTTGGTACACCTAAAGTTGATTATACAAGAACTGAACAGTCAGACTGTTACGTATATGGTGAGCATAAGGGTGATGGTGGGCTATAAGTAAAACATTGTTGGTCATTGCAACCAATAAAGACACAGAATTCAAGGAATTAAATATTTGGGGATCTTTACAAAGTTTACAAGCTTCAAGATCATTCTGATTAACAGAAATAGTCCTGGAAATAACTTAGATACAATGCAGAAAATATTATTTAATTTTACATTTTGACCATACATGTGCTTTAATTGACCCTGTGGTCTCCCCACTTTGGGCGCTGTGATGGACAAGCGCAACTGGTTTTCGGGATCCTCTCTTGCTGTCAGTGCTCCCGGGTACCTGTAAAACTGATTGCCAGGAATCAGCAGTAGGGATAGCCAGATCTGTATGGCTATACTCAGGAAACAGGGACCAAATGTGTGTATGATTTTAAGTAAGATTTATCAACAGTAAAATCCATCCAAACACCAGCACACAGCAGATATGAAAACATAAGTGACCCCAAAACCCAGTGACAGAATAGTTACCTAATCAACCTAACAAACGGAAAGCCTAACAATTATATACAATATATAAAACATGGGGAATACAGAAAAGCAGTGGAAAACTGGAGGTGCAGGGAGCAGATGGGAAGGGGAACCAAAACTGGGATGAGGAGCAAGGGGGAGCAGGTACAAGGCAGCAGGGTACTGGGTACAGGACAGAAGCAAGGTGAAGATCAATGGCAAAAAATCTGGCAGCCGCCAAACACTGGAAATAGAGACAGTATTAAGGAAGGATCTAAATACTCTCCCAGCACCCAGCATCAGGTGGAAACTGATTACTGGAATCTGCTGGCTGCTAAGAGACACTCGCTGGTGGACACTGGAACTACAACCTTCCACTCTGGGAAGCAATATTGCCACCAGCAGGTGATATATAGGTCCCAATACTGATGGTCCTGCAGCCAGGTCCTTTTACATGTATTAGGAGCACTTACAGCAGCTACTATATAAATAAAGGCTGCAATTTGGGTTGCATAATTAGTGCTCATGTGCAAATCAAAGTATTGTCCTTTGAGGTGCACATAATGTCAGTTCCTGCAAAACTGTAGTCCTGATTTTACTCCTTATTAACCCTTAGTTAATCCAAATTAGTTTTTAGTAACTCCTTCCTCCTCCCTTTTATGCTTTTTTTGTTGTTGGTACTAATAAACTTCTTATTTTTGTCTATTTTCATTGTTCCTTTTTGGAGTCCAACATTACAAAAAAATATACACAATATTAAAATACCAAACAAACTAAAATAAAACAAACGTTCATTTGTGACTGTCTGCTTTCTACCAGCAACATCATTTTGATGCTTTTATAAAAGAATCAAATTCCAGAATAAAATGAGCCATAAGCTACCTTAGTTTTAAGATTGAAAAAAAAACATTTTGATTATCATAACGAAAATAGAAACTTCTCCCTGTTTTTCCACGCTCATGATGACAAAATCACACCCCATTCTCTTCCCTAATCCATTTAGTCTCCTAGGGACCAAAAAGTGGCATCCCTAAGCCTAGAGCTACATGGTGGATTTTTTAGCAGCTCAGTTGCCCAAGTAAAGTCTCATGTGAATGAATATCCTTGTTTGTATCACATTACATAGATTTAATAAGATTTTCAATAACATAACTGAGTAGCAATAATCTCCTGTCTTCTCATCTATAGACTTGAATGGGAGCAGGAGACTAATCACCCATTTTAATCTCTCATTTTGGATATTTTTGAGTGCTTTTTCCATTCAAGTATACTCCTGTGGAATGAATATAATGAGACTAATTAAACCATCAGAAACAATTTCCTACGCTAGCAAGAAAGTCGGAACAGCAGGACATTTAAAAAAAATTGTATGTGCGGCCATAAACTAAGGCCAGCAGATAGAAACTGTCCTTTCTGCACCCTGTGCTGGCCCAGCCACTACATGTGTATGCACAGTCTGCCCCAGCTCAGTCATGGGTTCAGGGAACGTTGTTCCATCACTGGATGGGATGCAGTGTATGTTCAGTTACATACATTGACAGGGCAGCATTTCAGGTGATGGCTAACCCCCTTGACACTCCAGCTGCAGTAAGGCAGCCCATTCATTGATCAACTGTATTGGTGTGTAGGATTTAGTCTGCTTGTGATCATACACCTACAGTGTTAGGGAGGCCATACTATAATCATTTTTTTGTTCAACCAGCGGGTTGAAAAAAATGATCTGATTCCCCCATCTACACATTCAAGGTGGATGGGGGAATCACTCCCATTGCGCTCATGCAATCTGATGGAGGGAAGCCTTCCTCATCGTCATATTACAATGATTAGTGTTGCTAGTTATAGCCAAATATAATGAGCTGATTGTTCAGAAGTTGATCAGTAGATCGACTTCTGTACAATCAGGGTGCCCATACATAGATCACAATTCAGCTAGTCTCTGCAGAAACAGACAAATTTCAGTCCATTTATGGCTGGCTTTAGCTAAATAAAGGAGGGACATAATTCTTTATAAGTAGGCCTCCATGGTTATTCCAATTAAAGGGTAAATATGCAGGTTCTTGCATTAGACCCGTTGTGGCTGGTTCACTCTAAAGTGAATGTATGCTTTGCTCATGCAGAGTGCAGCAACAGCTTTTAATGTGTGATCGGCCAGCAGATTATATCCCCCTTCTCATCACTCCACCACCACTCCATTCTAGCCAGAAGTGAAAAGAAATCCCAATTTGTCTAGGACTCGGGCTCACTCCTCCTGTTCCTCCCATGTCACAGCACTAGTGTTTGGTAACTGGCTGCTTCCAGCATTGTCATATGGATATGGGGATAGAGTCTTCAGCCCTGTGTAAGTGATGACTTGGAACTTAAAACAGGTTCTCTTTTTCCCTTCAGTGGCCAAATGCAATGACTGGGGAATGAAGGGGAGGTAAGTATAAGCTGCTCATGGAGCTGCAATTAGACTGAGCCTGTTATTTTGCCCTGCAGGAACGAAGCAGACGTTCGCTTTACTGCTAGTGCAAATATTAGGTTAGGACTAACAATAAAACGACTATTTCTGTAAAAATATTTTAGAGGAAAAATCATTTATATTGTCACAGTTAATTGTTCCTTACTGTGACAGGTACCCTAGATTCAGAACACTCCTACTCTTCTTATTTTTGTTTGTTTTGTATCAAGAGTAAGCAGGTAACCTTCCCACCTGCAGATGGCCTAGTGCCATTATTGCATAGGAAGGGGAGTCTCATAAGGGAATTGGTCCCTTAGGCAGGCCGTACATTATTCAATTTTCTTTCCTTCAACCAAGGTTTGAAGGAAAGAAAATTGCTTGATTCCTCCATCAACATAGTCAATGTTGGGGAAGCCCTCCTGCTGAGCTATTGTATTATGACAGCGGGAGGTTTCCCCACCATCAGTATACATTGATCTCTGCTGCTGGATATAGCTACCAGCAGTGCTTGTACCAAAAACAAACACAGACAGGCTGGTTGTACTGAAGTCGATCAATAGACCGACTCCAGTACAATCAGCCTGCCCATAGATGGATCAGAATTTGTCCGGTTCCTGCTGAACTGGCTCGGATTTTGATCTGTACTTTTGGCTGTGACCTGTTTTCAGCTGACAGCAGACTGAAGCCCTCTGGCAGATGACGTCACTCAGCCAGCCCAGGCTGGGGAAATATCCCAACTTTAAACTCGGGATCCACCCCAGAGTCTGAAGCGGCACCTGGCTCAGGCTCTCAGCGAGCCCCTGAGAGCCTGAGCCTTCTGCTCTCTTCCCCTCCACAGTGGGGCAGAGCAGACAGCGGTGACTGACAGTCATTGCTCTCTACTCAGAGTGGATGTGAACTCAGTGATCAGTGGTCATGTAATTGCTGAGTTCTCACACTTGGAGCCGGCAGGGGACAGATGCAGCATCGAACTAATGCTGAGTCCACCTAGGTAAGTATGATTTTTTTTTTGTAAAACAAAATACTTCTCTTTTAATGCATCATGTGCAGGAGCATTGTCCTGGTGGAGAATCCACTTGTCAGGCCTGAGTTCCAGTCTTCTCCTCCAAAACAGATTCCTGTAATCTTTTCAGAATTTCCAAGTAACAATGTTGGTTAACACTTCTTGCATCATGGCGGACATCTTCCTGCCCCTCCTTAAACTGCCTATGCCATTCAAAAACACTTGATTTCTTCATGGAACGTTCACCATAAGAATGTTGCAACATAGCTAAAGTTTCCCTTGCACTTTTGGCAATTAATATGCAAAATATGTTAATCCGCCGCTCCAGATTCCTGTCTCTCATTTTCCGCCAACAACACGTATTTCTTCTACTACTCCGTAAACAATGATGAACTGGTCCGAGACCCAGGCGGGTGCAAGAACATTTCAGAACACCCTTGAGTGCGAATGGCTGTGTGAATCACACACCGTGGATCTCCAATATGGGTCCACAACTTTATTAAGCGATCACATAGTTACAGCAAGAGCATCATTTC